AGGAATGCTGTTCATGCTGAAGATATTTGGCATGCGTTAAGTTTAGAAAAAAATACCCTTTAAAACCGTGCTAAAATTTGTAACACAAGAGCCAAAGTACAAAGGGCAGATTGGATCTTGGATGAGCAGTTTGTCAAAAGGCAGGGGTGACTGGTGTGAGAGATGGGGTGCAGGCTGTAAGGGCAGTCATTTTCACCATGCTACGGGCACTGCGTTTCCATGTTGAGTGACAGATGCTTTCCCAGGTACTTTCCTCCCTTGTAAATACAGAAAGAGTTGGAAAAGGTTTGTTGAATTGTACCTTAGGATATTTAATGAGAACTCAGAGGCAAATTGCAGTAGAAGAGGAAGCAACTCTCACACCTTTGGACTCTCTCACAATGACCTTAGGATCGAGGGCCTTGAATCCAAAGGAGTGGCTGGCTTAGTATGATGTCCAAAGGTCTCTTAAAGACTTCTCTAGGAAACACAGCTGCACAGTGCTGCCCCTGAAATAGTTACTCTCCCAGGACTTCAAAAGCACTGCATTTGTTGTCAATTTTGTGCAGTAATTTTGCTCACAGGTCCTCTTGTACATGGGAGCAGCCATGAGCTTAGCAGTCTGCTGATGTGGCCATGGGCTTGTCCTGCTTCTCCAGAAGCTTCTGCTCCCTTAATGAAGACATTTATGGGCCAAGCTGTCTCCCTGTGGCCCCAGGTGGCATGTCCACTTCAGGAGACTGAAGATACCATAGCAGAAGGAAATAGGGCTGGGAGTTGGAGAAGAGATAGTAAAAGAAGGAGTGGGTGCTCCAGTATGTCAGGGGCCTGCAGAGCTTTCTGTGGGTAACAGCACAGCACGTGCACAGTGAAGGGCGTTATGACAGGGCAGCCTGGGTTGGGGGAATGAAGACTCCAGGGGAACACATACTAGGCAGAGCTTTTAGTTAAGTTTTTTTCTAAAAGAAACCAAATTTCTGCCCTCGAAACTCCCCTGCAAGCAGAACCAAGTCCTCTTGTAGACCCATCCTAACAGATGTAGTCAGATGGAGGTGCCTGAGGCTGGAGGACAGATTCCTGATCCTCACAGCACTTTCCCCTTCTAGCACAACTGGAGCGAAAAGGTTACTCAGTGGTGGGTGCTCATGGAGGCAGCTCTCCTCACACTTTGCTGCCACTTTAACTTCTCAGTTTTGAACATCGTGAACTGAACTCTTCCCTGGAGTCATGCTAGGGAGGAGTTTGGCTCTGCAAACCTACTGGTACAAACATACTGTCCGTAGCTCACTGTTACATCATGAGCAAAGCTACCTTTAACAGACCAAGCTGCCTTTGGGAGGACTCATGGCACTTACAGAAGTATTAAAAATAGCTGTTCTTTCTGCATAAACAACTATTGGTGTCTCAAAGTAAGGCCAGAGATCGTGAAGCAGCACTGTTGTGATTAAAGTAGCATAGCCTTTACACCGTCCAGGCATTTAGTAGACCCAGGATTTCCCCTTCTGTGCTACTATTTTCTATAGTCCTGAAATTAAAAATAATTTGAAGAACTTTCAAGTACTTTGTTATCTTAGACAATGCCAGGTGCCAGTCAGGCAGCTACCCACATCAAAAGGACAAGTCAGTAAATAGTCTTTAACTGAAGACATTCATCTGCTTTGTGGCACAATTAATTCCAATTTAATTCAGAGGTTTGTGAGTATTTGGTTTCTGAAACCCAATGCCATTTTTCTTATGGGACATTTATGTAGTGTCCTCATCAGTATTGCTTTGTAAAGATATAATTGACCACATTGATGCATTAACTTCTTCGTGTTGAGTAACACGTGTCGTTCTCAGCCTGGCTGGATGTGTAGTACAGCCTGACATTTCGTTTGAATTAATGTTCTGTGCAAATCACATGCTTGCTTGAGCAGCAATAAAAGGGGGTTAAGCAAATCTGGCTTTGTAGCAGGAGACTTACCTCTTGGTATCACATGCTTCAGGTCTTATTTCTGAAGATTTTTACTTTAAAGTCCAAAACCTTAAAGGCTTACACACATATTAATGCATAAGGGGTAAGTGTTATGTGGTAATTATGGTTGAACAAAACCTCTGATTGTCTGGTGCTGGCCAAGTGTTTATAAATATTTGGTAATCAGCAGATTTTATTCATCCAAATCCAAAGAAAGTCTATCACATGCTAATGGCATGTAATCCCAAAGGGAGCAACACAAAAACTAAACAAAATCTAGGGCAGCTGTCTCTGCCTTTGGGGGCAAACTTGAGAGTTTTAAAAATTGTTTTGTATTCTCCTTCTAATAGCTTTCTGGTACAGCTGCTTCAGTATTAGTTATTCTTGTCCATCCAACATGAAAGGATGCTTCACCTTTCCTCGTAGGAAAAGTCCTGTCTGCATTCACTTGATTAATGAGCTGAAACACCCTTCAAGGATTGCATAACTCTCCTCATTTTATTTATGTTCCAGAGCTAGTTACAGCTCCTATTACATTGCCATATTGCACATCACTAGAACAAATTAGTGTATGAAAAAGGTTCAAGAACTTATGTTTACAACACATTTGGCCCCAGCCTGTTATTCCATTGATTATATATGAGTGACAGTTAATGAGAGCATCAAGTAAAGAGAGCATCAAATGTAATTTAGAATTAGTCACAATTTCGTGCATAAATAGTGTGAAGTTAGTGAGTGGGCTTGGCTGAATCCAGGCAGCAGTGGGCTGTGTTACAAAATTAAAGAGCTCTTGTGCTCCTTCCTGAACTTGAATTTTCATAGTGTGACAAATCCAGGTTGAGTGCTTCTGCTGCATAACTATGTTGGGTTAGATTTCATGAACCAATTTTAACACTGACTCTCCCCTGGTAACTCTGAGCAGATTCCTTGAGGTAGGCAGTCTTTTGAGATGAGATAACCCAGGACAGAGAAAACCAGCACATCACTTGGTGCATTGGTAGTAGCACATCACAAGTGCAACTTGAGTTGCTGCCTCACCATAGAAAAGTAACATATCTGGCTTTCAGTAACCCACTGGAGTGCCCTCCAGAAAGGCTTGAAAGGATTGCTTTGGCAAATGGTAGGTGAGATGACCACTTGCCTTTAGTTCCCTAATAAAAGAAAAGTCTTAGCAGAATGCATAATAGAGCTCCCTGTTCCAAAAGGCCTTTGCAGTTAATTATTCATGGCTTCCTGAGAGCTAGCTCTATAGGTTGCCTTTTCAATACGAACTGCCCCTTAGATTGGAAAACTGCCATTTATTTTTTCAAAATCCACAAAAGATTGTAGCTGTACTTTTGTCATAGTATAAACGTATTTTCTTCTTTTGTATGTGCACAGCAGGTTTTTCACTGATTCCTTGAGGCTCAGGTGAACCAGGACTGCAACTTTATGCCAAATATTCATTACCAGGGTTTATTTTTAGTAACTGTTGAATAGCTGTGCTGATTAGGGCAGACTTACCCTGTCTGGTGCCATTAGTCCTTTTCCATAACAAAATACACACATGTTCAGAGAGAATAAAGCATTTGGTGTGAGAACACATTCACACAGGTAACCCAAGTGAGTCTGGCAAACAGAGATGCAAAAACAGATGGATGAGGGTTTGAGTCCTATTAAACTGGTAATCTGAGGGTTTTTTTTCCCAAAACTAATTGCAGATCTTTCATCGGTGACTTCATTCACTGTTATTTCCGTGGTAATAGAAAAAATAAAGTTTCATTAATTCAAGGGAGAAAAAAAACCACAGTAGTTTGTCTTGTTCTGAATCCACACGCAAAGTGTCCACACCACACTTTTGGGCCTGACCTAGACTACCTACCCTAGACTGCTGTGGGCTTGGCTCTCTGTGACTTAGATGAAGGAAAGTGGCTGATTTTACACCTGTCTGAAAATAAAATTTAATTAACAATTTGTTAAGTAGCAAATTAATTTCCCTAGTCTTGGGGCGAGGCGATTCTGTTGTAGTTGAGGTTAAACTTCTCCTTGAGTTAAAAATGCCTTGCAGAAAGTCTTCAGAGTTTAGTAGGCTCATCTGCAGAGGAGTTTTAGCCAGAAACTGTTTGTTCTTTCATATATATTTGACAAAGTAAGTATCAGGTATGACAAGGTCTGTACAAAGTGTGAGGACAGTATATGTTGAATGAAAAAAAAAGTAGTTTTAAATCAGCATTTAGTGATGACCCATCGCAATTACCAGAAGAGAGAAGCCTTAATGAGTTTTCCCCCTCAGGAACAGTGTCTTTTGATGGCCAGATGTTGCTCCTCTAAGCCCCAGCTTGGGAATTTCTTTTTATTTACTAACCTACATGACAGAATAAAGTTTACCCAATATCTGGAGTTAGCTAAACAATTGGTGGGGTGGAGCTGGGGGCAGGCAGCACCATGGGGGGAGAGCTGATCACAGCTCCAGCCTTTGCCCTGCAAAGCCACATGGTGGGGTGGTTCCCTGCATTGCTTCTTCCCTTTCCTCCTTGCTAATGAACTGAAAAAGAAGAGAAACACATGAATGCAGGATGGTTGCCAGTGTCCACCATGGAGACATCATGTGCAGTGCTGCTGTGTGGCTTCAGAGCTGGGGTTTGTGGCAAGTCAGTCTCACGTCTTCAAGGGAACAAATGCAAAAGCCACAGTGCTTTGAGTGTGCTTTCTTATCTCATACTGAGGTGGTCACAGGCTGTGAAAAGGAGCTTAGAATGAAATGCTGCATAATATTGCTCAAAAGAGTAGCACAGACCTAGAGAAGATGTAGGGCTGCAAAGCTCAGCGTTGCTCATATAAGCCTTGCTGACTTAGCAAGCAGAGTTCAAAGGGCAGGGTTCTGCTTGTGCAGCTGCTAACACACCATCGTGTACTCAGCCATCACAACCAGATTCTGCATCAGCTGAGCTGCATCTCTCCCTTGTTTTGTTTCCTCTCAAATATTCAGGCGCAATGTACTGAGCTTGTCCTCGGGAATTGAAGATATTGGTATTATCAAGTGGGATCTAGCCCTGTGTCTTCTCCTTGTCTGGGTGATATGTTTCTTCTGCATTTGGAAAGGAGTCAAATCCACTGGGAAAGTAAGTGCACTTTTACCCTTTTTATAATCATTGCAGTTAGGAATACTAAGTATCGTTGCTCTTAAAAACATTCACCATTTCCTGGGGGAAAAAAATGTGCCTCTGCACTGAATAAAATGAGGATTTGGATTCAGCTGGGTTTCGAAAGACATTGCCAGTGCCCAAAATACCTGAGAGTCAAGTGGCCATTACTGGAATGGCATCAAGAAGCAGATACTAGCACAGTTTGAGAACCACTTTGCTTCTCTGAGAACAAGCATCCCAGTGATGAATGTCGTGAGCGCGGAAGGTCTTAGGCCTGTGATGTGTGGTGCTCTGCAGTCCCTGTCCGTGCTCTGACACCAGCCAAGTTCATTCTCCGTGCAGAGGGGTGGATGTTAACATAGCTGCGGTAGAAATGTTTTCATTCAGTGGAAACTGATGGATGTGTAGCATTTTTGAAATGCCACTCACTTAGAGAAGTGCTCTGTATAGACACGGAAGACTAAACTTAGGTACTCCTTTAGAAGCACTCTCCTTAACAGAGGTCCTGGATAGTTTGTGGGTTTAGTCTTTTCGTGTGCTTTTCAGAATCATGTTTTTCTCCAAAGGATAACAGTTAAATCATTCCTGAACCTGGTCCTCCTCCAGTGCAAGAAGCAAATTACAGCAAATATTGGCCAATCACTTAATAGCATGAAGCATGATATTATTGCCCCTTGCATACAGTAGAGTTTTTAAACCTATTTTCATGAGCAAAGGCTTTTAAAGGATGTATGATCTTAGCTTTCGAACCTGTTGTTTGAGGCAACACTTCAGATAAGTCTAAGAGAGGTAGAGAGTTCTCAACATACTAAGTTCCCACATGATTCTTGTCAGCTAGGTGGAAGGGAGCAACCCCATTAGTGTCCCACTTGAGAAAAAGGTCATAGCGTGAACCTATCTTAGATCAGCCCAGAAGGAGTGAGCAATTGCAAATGCCTCAGCTGCTGAAAAAGCGTTTGCTGTTTTACCTTGTTACACACTGCAGGATCAACCAGGAGACAAAACTCTGTAGGAAAACAGACCTCCTTAGTTCCGCTACTGACTAAACTACTTACTTTGCTGTCATTTCTGTCTTGCTTTCTGTGATTTTTATCATGGACCTTCATTAAAATCATGCTGGTGCCTTACCTTGGATTCCCGCCAGCTTTGCCCCAAAGAACAGCTTCCACACCTCTAAAGCATACATTGACAAGAATGTTTGCTTCTCTGTTCCTTTTGATTGATGTGACCCGAAGAGGTGATTTTCTGGCAAGCCTGGTGTCTGCTCAGTAAAGGCTGCAGTAGTGCTGAGAGACTTTTCCAAGCTCCCTGTGGTACAATATTTCAAGCCCTTGTCAAGTTAACAGGTTGAAAACAGTTCTGTAAAAATCGGTTATCTGAAAATGTTTGTTTCCTGAAAATCCAGCAAAATGCTTTCATTTCAACGACAAGGCTGTTGGTAGGAATCCTCTGCCTCCTCTCCACAGCATCTGAGCTCGTTAGGATGTGGAGCCAAAGCCCAGCAAAATCACTGGAAACTCTCTGTTTGACTCCATTAACTTTGGGGTCAAACAAAAGTAAACTGTAAACTCTAATGGAGGACTTGAATTATTTGAGAAGTCTAGTTTACTTTAGTAGATGATTGTTTATAGCACTTCCCTGCTTTCCAGTGTGTTAATGGCTCTTTGGAGAGCAGGGGGAAAAAAAAAAAAGACATGGTTTTAAAATCTTGTAGTAGTGTATTGGACAAATAAACATGAAATCACGAGGAAAAATAATAGTTGTGCTTATGCTTTGGATAGTGTGCTTGATCTTAAAAATTCCTCCAGTGTTAGGAATCTTTACCTGCTTTCTGAATGTCATTTACTCAGTTCCTGCAAATATATCAAAGCATGTATTTTTTTGTCAAGAAAAATTTGATTTTCCATAGGCCTGGCTTATATTAAAAAACAAACCAACCCCGAAAGCACAGAAATCCCCCTTCTGGTTTTGGTGAAACTGGACTAATGTGTAATACATATTATTTATCAGTGGAAAATATACAGAAAATTCAAGGAGAGAATCAAAAAGGACATGTATGAAAAGATTTCCTTTCATTTAATGAAATCAATCCAGCTCTGTGAATTATTACAACAATGCAGGCTTTGAGTTCTCCTTGTTATTCTCAGAGGACACACTTAAGAAGAAAAATGGTACATCCCGGGGGCTTTGCTGTAGTTAAACAAATTCTGGAAAACAAAAATATATTTCAACTCATGGCAGCAAACTGTAATTACCTGGGGGAATCATCTGACTTCGTGAAAAATGCTCTTTCTTGGACAGTAGTGATTCTTGACCGTAACACAGCAGTTACATAAAAAATGAGAGAACGCACAGATGAGCAAAGAAAACAAAATGTTAGAGGTCAAAAAGTGCGGGTCTAAAAATAGAACTGTCCAAATGCAAGTTCAATTAACCCTCACACTGGAGATGAAAGCAAAGAACTCTTTCATCAATAGAATGAATGAAGAAATAGGCTGTTATTCAAAGAGAGTGGGAATAGAGGTTAAAGATAATGAAGACATATTCTCAGACTGGATGAATAGAGCCTTAGTTTCCAATAATGATGTTGCTGAATAGGCAGCAAGGGCAAGAATGAAATTATGGGACTGGAAATTACCACTGTTGAGGCTGATGCCAACCTGAAGGGCTTCATGCCTTCAAGGTGATGGGAAGGAAGACCAAATTATCCTTCTCTCTCAGAGAAGTGCTGCATGAAGTTGCCTGTAGGAGCAGTAGCGAGGCTGTACAGCCAGGTCAGAGGTTGCAGCAGAGGTTGCAAAATGGTTTGCAGTTATTAAGTTCAAATAAAGAATGAGGTAATGCTTCAGGCACCCCCAGTGAGGAAATCTCTTCAGCTTCCCTGGCAGACGTTCACTTGTCATGTGAGGAGGACAAACAGGGCAAGGGCAGAATTTCTAACAAAACTCATGATTTGTATAAAGCCCTCCATGTTCTCTGCCTGAGTGACATGGCCCCTGTCTGGGAGGCTCTAGAGGGACTAATGAGCCTGCATTGCCTCCGGGCCTAAAGCAGTAAGGTTGTGTAAAGACCATTAAACTAAAAGTAGACACCAAAACTCAGGCCAGGTCCTTTTTAGGTATGAGGGGGCTTTGAATTCCCATCATTAGATCTCTTGATTCTGGAGGTGTAGCATTGACTGCCACAGACTAAAAGTCCTTTTTTTGTTTTTTTTTTTAATATTGCCAGGTAGTGTACATCACTGCCACGTTCCCATTCATCATGCTCCTTGTTCTGCTCATCCGTGGTGTGACCCTGCCTGGAGCTGCAGAAGGCATCAAGTTTTATCTTTATCCCGATATCTCACGGTTAGCTGACCCACAGGTACAGAACCAGGAGTGGGGAGCGGGACGATTTCCTGCACAAAGTCGGGTGGTAGAGGGTGGTGGTGATGGAACGGCAACAGATTCTTTTTTTCCATGGTCTCTAGAGGTCCAAATATAGCCTGAACATTAATGCTGGGTTATATTTTCCAGAGATCTACTTGAGAAGGTCACTGTTACATGTGTTAATGCATCTTTCCACGTGTATGTATGTGTGTGTGTGCGTGTGTATTTTTTTTGTGTCAAAGGGCTCTGAGGCTGTAGACTGTCCCGTTATACAATCTCAGCTTTCTTGTTGGTAAGGTAAGGGAGATGCATTTTTTTTAATGAGGGTAGTCTTTAGTTTCAAAGGAGAGACACGTGAGCTTCACAGATGGAACAAGCAACAACTGTGAGTACCAGTGTCACTTAGGTCCCACTGCTCAACAGGAGGAGATTGGGAAAGAAGTGAATGAAATAACAGAAGAATGAAAACCCATGCAAAGGTGGAGAAAAATGCTTTCAGAGGCATAGGGACTACTGTTGGCTTAGCCCTGGCTAGCAGAGCTGGGTTTACCCTTTCTGTATAGGCTGTGATTAGACAGAGATTCCTGTCTGTGCTCACAGAGTGCAAATATGTGACACTTGAGCAGACCAGCATCATTTCAGCCAACAGTGAAGACATGTATGAGAAATGGGGGACAAAAAGAAATGGAAATCAAAGAAAACAGAGGGTCTTTGAAAATAAGATGTTGGTCACAGTGAAAGGGAATAATGTCCATTTTTGCTATTTCCTTTTGATGAGCATTTGGTTAAAATAAAACTCCAATAATAGCTAAATAACTGATGTAATAAAGTGTAATTGAAGGAAACATTGGGGAAATTTGGTTCATTCTCTAGTCTTGCCCTCTTTATAAGACACCCTCTTCACAGCACACATATTTTATGAGTGAATCTTTTTTTATGGGACTCTATAATTTTTATAATCTACTCTTAGTCCTAAACCCAGAGCATCAGCCAGTAATGTAGAAGAGATTCATATCAGCTGACAGGCCCCCTTCCATGTTCTAGCAAAAGCATCATCTCCAAGGAAACACCAGTCAGCAAGGTTCTGGAAAGCAGTGGTTGGGGGGAGGAGGTAATGGTCTACAGTCTTAATTCTCACTTATCCAGACTCTTTGGTGGTTTCTACTGGTATTAACAGACTGTCATTAGTAGAAAGAAGTGAACAGATGGGATTCAATGGCTGCATTTTGAGATCTTGCTGCGTATTTACTAACTGAGAAGTTGATAGTGTACTATTATTTCATTCTGTATATGTTTTGTTTAATGTAATCAGGAGAAAGAATCATGAGACCGAGATGAGATACGTATCTTATAAAGTGCATTGTATTTTGCTTGTTTTCCCCCCACCCCTATGGCTTTTTATCTTGCATTTGAACAGATACAAAAACAACCAGAAGGCTAGAAAAATAAATCAACCAAATACACAAACTTGTTTCTCAAATTTTTCACATCCTCAGTTTAGTGACTGTCAGCTGATTCTAACTGGAATGATTTACAACAGAAACGAGCAATGTTATAAATACTTCTGCCTTTCCTATTGTGCTGAAACACATTTATTGTTGCACCAACAGGAAGGATCAGCTGAATGACTAAGAAACTAGAAACACTGAGCATCTCTGGGGTGGGGATACAGGAACTGTTGGAGAGCTGATTTTCTTGTGGGCTCTGATGCTAACAGTTTTCTTTTCTCTGTAAAAGCCAAACTTGCGATTGTGATGTTCTCTTCCCCTCTCCCCCTGACCCTTTAGCTATCACTCTGAATGGAAGCAATTGTTTTGTTGGCTTTGCATAGTTTGAACTGTGTGTTTGCATTGAGTGCTGCAGTGCAACGGCGACGGTAATAACAGCTTTTCCATCTTTCTCTTCAGGTCTGGATAGATGCAGGGACACAAATCTTCTTCTCATATGCAATCTGCTTAGGAGCAATGACTTCCCTGGGGAGCTACAACAAGTACAAATACAACTGCTATAGGCAAGTTTCCATCCAAGGGGGTTTAGTGTTTTAGCTAAATGATGTAAATAAAGTAGGGACAATGGGTTAATTTTTTTTTTAATTAACTTGCTCCATGACATATGTGTGACTTAGGGACTGTTTGCTGCTGGGATGCCTGAACAGTGGTACCAGTTTTGTGTCTGGCTTCGCAATTTTTTCCGTCCTGGGCTTCATGGCACAAGAGCAAGGGGTGAACATTGCTGATGTGGCAGAGTCAGGTACGATGGTATTGGTGGCAGTGGTGGTGGGCACTGCCGCCTAGCGTGTGAGCAAAGTTCTGCAGACTCAATCAGCTAACATCTAAGCAATAAAACCAGAACAAGATTTCCCATAATCTCCAGAACAATAAGCACATTGTTGATTTGGGCTGTCCTCTAGGACAGTGAGGGTTAGCCGGGGTTGTATTGTTTACTCTGTCTTGATTAACAGGGCAGCGAGCGCATTTCCTAGAGCGTGCTAATCCGTTTGAGTTGAGGTTAGACTTAAGATAACCACGCCATTATCTAGGGTTCAGGATGTCATTGATTTGAGAATGTGTTCTATCCTTCTTTTCAGACTACCTTTATTTTCATTCAAATGCAATTAGCTGGGGTTTATGTGTTTTTCATAGCTTAGTTTTGGTTGCTCACAGCAGAGTGCTGCAGTGCGAGTGTTACCCTGACCTTCTGAAGGGACATACAGACACATATCCCCAAGGCTCACTGAAAGGCAAGACAAGTTGGAGAGCTCCTCCTCCTGAGTTCTGTGGACCATTCCATTCACAGAAACCTAATTGTTGCAATCCTGCATTTGTCCTCTGTAGCTTCAGAGCGAGGTTGGCAGAACTGTGAGAAGTCCATTCTGAAACTGGATGTACACTGAGGAAACTTCCTCCCTTATTTCAGAGGTGTTCTTCCCATTAAAGTTCAGCTACACAGTTGCAGCTGAAGAAGGCTAAATCCTCATAGCATTTAAATGTACCTCAGACAAAACAGATGACATTTTTTCCCCTGTGCATGTCTTGTCCACGAGGGCAGGTGTAACCATGTGGTTTCATGTAGAGCAGACAGATTAGATGGGAATTACCATTCAAAAATAGTAAGTTGGGCCTTGACAGCCATGAGGCTTAAAGCTAATCAGATTCAAGTAGTAACAACATCACCTGAGTGCACTTCTGGCATTTCTTTCTGACTTTTTTGAGCAATTTTTATTCATCTGCATAGTATCTGAAAGCTTTCCTCTGCAAATATGCTATTAAAAAGTCAATATTTCTTCTAATCACTTGGCTCTGGGAGTTAAGTCTTTAAGAAAAATAGCTCACTTCACAAGGGCTAGTGAAAAACTAATGACACTGGTGGCACTGCTGGATTCTTAGGTGGCTGCAATTGGCATTCCTCTCACAAGTGCAGTTAGTTAATGGTCTTGGCCATAATGCTTATTTTGATTGGAGGTTGATTGCTTTGTTTGAAAACAGGAAGCAAAGGAATAATCCTATTGAATGAATTATAAATACTCCTTTTTTTTTTTTTTTTCCAGTATGTAGATGGATCAATTCCAAGAGTAGCATTTTTAAGTATTTCCACATTATGTTTTTATCTGGTCAATATTGATTCTAATTTTTATTATTAAATCTCTGATAAACAGACAGCTATATTCCTGTTGCTTGACATTTTTAGAATTAAGCAGTTCTATAGTAACACTGGATTGTTAAGTAATGTTTAAATACAAATGAACTGACAGTCTTAGTGTTTACATAGCATTTTTTCAATAGCTCGAAAAACATTTTTTTAAAGGAAGGATTTTATAGGTTATAATAGGGACAAGGGGGGCACTGGTTAGCTTCTTTCAATTTCTTCCATATTTTGTTCTCAAATCCTTCAGATTTTCTACTTTAAGTTCAGCCCTAGTCACTAATGGCCAGAGATTGCAACAGCCCCACTTCAGTGGGTTGTCCATCATCACTGGCTGGCCTTTGGCTAAACCCCAAGGGATACTTTTATATGACAGTAAACATTACCAAAATTATCCTAGATTATCCAAACTGCTTCCCATGGGTTTCCTCGCTGCCTTTCTGAGCACAGAGCCACTGGAGACTGCTTGGTCCCTCTGGGATGAGCATCCCAGGATCCACATGAGTCTGTGGGGGAAGCTCTCACTTCTCCTGCTGCCCAACTGCTGACTTCTCAGCACTGAGACATTCAGCAGGTGCTGGAGCCTCTTTTTTTGGCCGTGTCTTTTCTGGTGTCTCATGATGCAAGGTCAGAAGTGCTCCCCTGGGCCAGGAGAAAGGTGAGCATAAGTGCTGCTGCTTAGCTGTAGCACTGGGGGGAGAACATTGGCCAGGGAGCCAAGACCTCCCTCTCCCCCTGTCTTTGCCCAGCGAGCTAAACCCCTTGTGCCCTATGCATGACACCAGTTGTTCCCTTGTTTGCCCTCCTGCAAGCCAGGAGAACATCAACAGATTTGCTGACAGCAGAATCTCATGGCCACATTTTTTACCTGTGCCAAATTCAGCCTTGGTGCAACGTGCCTGGGGACACACTTGTCAGCAAGGGCTGGCTCCTGCTTAAAGTAGTGGTCACTGCTGCTGGCCTGCACTGGCTTTAAGGGCTTTACTCAACAGTTAAATTAGACCCCTCTGACTTCCCAATGAAAGCAGCTATTTAATAAATAGCACTTGATTCTTTTCAGCAATCTTTTTTAAAGGGCAAAAGAAAGCAGTATCCCAGCTCTCCCCAGCGCCTCCACAGAGCTCTGCAGCTGTGCCTCAGCTCTTGGCCAGCAAGTGAGCTGGGCTTGTGGCAACCCTAATCGGCTCTCAAGAGCAGCCACAAGGGCTTCACTTTTGCAAAACACCCTTCAGATCAACAGCATTTCAAATTAAACAGATTTTTTTGATTATTTTTGTTCAGTCGAGGAGAGGCCAAGAAAATTTTCTTTCATGTGGACTTTTCTCTTTATATTTCAACACTTTTAGTTTCAAAGGAAAGTCAAAGCACAGGGCTTAGGGCACTTGGTATTAGACAGTATCACAGTGCAAGGACAGTTTCACTGTCCAAAGCACACAGAATTGCAGCAAGTCTTGAGGAGAGCAGTTTTACATCTGTCTCATCAATTACACAGTTCAGCTGCAGATGCCATCTGGTAGCAGTTCTCCCTCAGGGAGGATCTACTATATCCACTGAATTAGGGGGAAAAATAGCAAAGCCCCCCAAAATTTGAGACATCCACCAATTTTTTTGGTATCTTTTGTCGTATAAAATTTTAGTTGTGTTTCATTTTAAATAAAATTAGTTACTCAATTGTTGGCTAATTTGTATTTATTTCTGTTCAAATATATTCAGTGACTTAAAGTTTCTTTAGTTTGAAAAAAAAGTCATCGTTTTTTTACCTCTTTCTCTTGCTTCTTTTTCCATCTTTCTTGTTGGAAAGGAAAAGTGGGAGGTAGGAAGAGCAGCATTAGATGTTTTTCTGTGCAGATCAGAGATAAATTTCTGCCCCCCCCCACTGCAGCAGTTTTAAAACATTCCTTGTCCTGTTGAAAATTACTTGAATCCACTTCAAAAATCCTGAAAAAAAATGCTGATTTGCAAGACTCCTTAAAGCAAACAAACAGATGGGCCAGGCATTCCT